CTCAGGTTCTCTCCACTCGATCTCAGGTTCTCTCCACTCGATCTCAGGTTCTCGCCACTCGACCTCAGGTTCTCGCCACTCGACCTCAGCTTCTCTCCACTCGATCTCAGGTTCTCGCCACTCGACCTCAGCTTCTCTCCACTCGATCTCAGGTTCTCTCCACTCGATCTCAGATTCTCTCTACTTGATCTCAGATTCTCTCCACTTGATCTCAGCTTTCTGCCACTGGACCTCAGGTTCACTCCACTGGACTCCCACTTCTCTTCCCTGGACACCAGCTTCTCATTACTAGACCTCAGCTTCTCTACACTTGATCTCTTTTTGTCCACACTCGGCCTCAGCTCCTTCTCATTCTGCCCCAGTTTATAGCCTCTGGATCCCAAGTCCTCTCCACTGGTCCCTACCTTCTCCCCAGCAGACCTCGACCTCTCTTCAAAGCCAGACCCCCTCATAGGCCTTGCTGTCATCCCTGCACTCTTAGATTTAGCCCTTATTTTGTGTTTGACCTCTTGCTTTCCCCAAATCTCCCTTGGGTTGTCTTTCCCCAAATCTACTGAAGCTTGTGATGCACTTGCTCTACGGTGCAGCAGCTTCACATCCATCCTTTCCTGACTCGGGCCTGATTTCTCTTTCAAGGCCTCCTTTTCCACATCTTCCAGTCTCCAGTACTCAGACTCCAGCTTCGGCTTTTGAGTGTTTCTACTCAGAAGCTCCACTCTCTTCCCAATCACCATGAGGCCGTTCCAAGGTCCCCAGGTTTTCTCTCGCAGCATCGGCGCCCCCTCGTAGCCCTGCTCCAGTGGCGGCCGCCCGTGGAACCCGGCCTTGCCAGGGGCGCCCTGGCCCTGGGCCTTGGGGAGTCCCCTAGTCCTCTTAGGCTGCTTACCCCGCCGCTCCCTACGGCCCAAGGGCGGAAAACTTAACAGAACACCCTTCTCTAAAGACATCCTCCCCTGCCCTCGCCCCTGGTCCACCACCCACATCCCCACCCCCGCTCCCCATTCCCCGTCCCCACCCTGCCACCCTCACCCCCTTCCCTGTCCCCTTCCCTTTCCCCTTCCCCTTCCCCTTCCCCTTCCCCTTCCCCACCGCCTGGTGGTAGCCAAACTGGGCGAGTGCGCACGCGCAGGCCGCACGTGGCGGTTGGAAGCAGCGGCCCGGTACAGCGGCACGAGGTTGGGATGTTAGTCAGCCGGAGACAGGAGGGAGACGCGGCACGCGGCCTCTGCGACCCTAGAGCTATCTTGACCCCAGCTCCCACACTGTCGCCTATCACTGGCCTACGCTCCATGCCGCGTGCCCCTTAAAAGCTGAGGCCTGGGCCAGGAACCGCAGACATTCCAGCCAATGGTGTCACGTACGGTAGCCCCGGTATCCAATCGAAAGGCGCGGCTGAGGGAAACGCGTAGGAACCGCCCCCGACTCTACGCGACTCCCTGGACGGGCGGGGGAGAGCGTCTCAGTCAGCTGAGAGCATCCGGGCTCGGTCGATTCTTCGGGCGAGTTACCGGGTCGACCTGCGGGAGCACGCGGGCAGTGGCCGGACGCTGAAGCCGTGTGTGCTGCCGCCCAGGAGAGCGATGGAGGTGCATCCGGAGGCTGGGAAGGAGGGCAAGGTAGAGAAAGGATGAAGACCCCCGCCAGCCTCCCCTCACTCTGTGAGAGCCGGTGATGCCCAATCAGGCGGTGGTGTGTGCGCGCGCGCCCACGTGTGTGCGCGCTCGTCTGTGTGTCTGTGGTCCGCCTGTGTCTGTTTCTGTGTGTGTATAGCCTGCATGTGACTGTGTGTGTGTGTATGTCGGTGTGTCTGCATATGACTGTGTGTGTGTCTGTGTGTATGTGTATGTCTCTGTGTGTCTGTGTGTCTCAGTGTGTGTATCTCTGTATCTGCGTGTCTCTGTGTGTCTGCATGTGCCTGTGTGTGTGCACATGTGCGTTTGTGTGTGTCTGTGTGCGCGCGTGTCTGTGTGTGCGTGCGTCTGTGTGTCTGTCTCTGTGTGTCTGTGCATGTCATGTGTCTCTGTATCTATGGTCTGCATGTATCTTTGTGTGTGTGTGTCTGCGTGTATAGTCTGCATGTGTGTGTGCACATGAGAGTCTGTGTGTACGTGTGTGTATCTCTGTATCTGTGTATGGTCTGCATGTCTTTGTGTCTGTGTCTATGTCTGTGTGTGTGTCTCTGTGTGTGTGTGTGTCTGTGTGTGATGGTCTGCATGTGTCTTTGCCTATGTGTGTGGGTATGTGTATGTCTGTGTGTCTGCATGTGTCTGCGTGTGTCTCTGTGTGTCTGTGTGTGTACATGTCTCTGTGTGTCTCTGTGTCTCTGTGTATCTGTGTCTGTGTGTCTGTGTGCATGTGTGTGTGTCTGTGTACCTGTATTTGATCTGTGTATGTCTTTGTGTGTGTCTATTTGTCTGTGCGTCTGTGTATCTGTGTGCGTTTCTGTGTGTCTGTGTGTGCATGTGTCTGTGTGTGTTTCTATGTGTGTCTGTGTGTGTCGATGTCTGTGTTTGTCTCGTGTGTCTGGATGTGTGTATGTGTGCCCATATGTCTCTGTGTGTATGTGTGTGTCTGCACAAGTGAGAGAAGGGAGACTTGAGCAAGGGGGTGGGAAGCCTCTGTGGCACCTGCGTGGGGATTGACGAGGATGCCAAGGGAGGCAGTGTTTTGCCTTTGTCCTGACAGATGGAAAGGGACCCGTCACTGTCACTCTTACCCTCCTCAGAACCAACTCACGCTGGCTTGATGGGGGTAGGGGGTGAATGGGAGAGGAGGGCTGGATGTTAGGGATTGAGCAGAGGCTGGCGTGAGGGAATCCTGTTCAGCACTAATGGCTTCACTTGTGTTCTGAGTTCATATAATCATAAGATCATTTCTTCCTTTGGACTTCATTCAGCAAGGAGTTGTCAAGCATCCACGTTGTGCCAAGGATAGTTACAGCATGGAGAGGTGCCCCCTTTTGGGAGTTGGAGGCATATGCCTAGTGGGCTGTGGCTGAGGATGAGGACGAAGCAGTTGTGGTCCATCTTTGAGGCCTCAGCCCCCTCAAGCAGCTACCAAGCAGTGTAGGTCAGAGGAGAGATACTAAGGCAGCAAGAAGGAGGCTGGGGACTAGGGGACCTGCCGCGCCAGTGAGCCAGACTATATGTGTTTGGGGTCTGGGGCAAGTGGAAGAGCCTGCGTTGGTAGTGTCAGAGAAGCCAAGAAATGAGGAGTGGGGTTCAAGTGGTTTGGAGGAACAAGAGGGACTGAGAGACACAAAGCTGGAACAGAATATGTCTGCTTCAATGTTTATGTTCATCTTCATGGTTAAAGTAGTTAACATATATAAAATGCTTAGGACATATATATGAAATGGTTAGAGCGGTGCCTAGCATGTTGTAAAGGCCAACATAAGAGTTAACTATTATATTATTATTATTGTAGTATTATTGCTGTATGTTCTGAGGGTGTGTTGAGCTATTGAACAGATGGATGCACCACCCAGCCTTTGCAGGAGCCATAATCTCTGGAAGTTCACTACCAATACTTATCCTCTAGGTTAAGATTGCCTTCTCTAAGATCCTCCTTTAAATATAGAGACAAAAAAGAATATATAAGTAAAAATGTAATAAAGGAGAAAATGAAATAATATAAAATACTGGCCAGGTGCAGTGGCTGAAGCCTATAATCACAGCACTCTAGGAGGCCAAAGCAGGTGGATGACTTGAGGTCAAAAGTTCAAGACCAGACTGGTCAGCATGGTGAAAACCCATCTCTACTAAAAATACAAAAAATTAGCCAGGCATGGTGGCACGCACCTATAATCCCAGTTACTTGGAAGGCTGAGACTGGAGAATCACTTAAACTCAGGAGGCAAAGGTTGTCGTGAGCTGAGATCGCACCATTGAACTCCAGCCTGGGCAACAGAGCAAAACTCTATCTCGAAAATAAATAAACCCAAAGGATTATAAATAGTTCTACTATAAAGACACATGCACACATATGTTTATTGCAGCACTATTTACAATAGCATAGACTTGGAACCAACCCAAATGCCTGTCAGTGATAGACTGGATAATGTGGTACATATACATCATGGAATGTAGCCATAAAAAAATGAGATTATGTCCTTTGCAGAGATGTGGATAAAGCTGGAAGCTATCATTCTCAGCAAACTAACACAGGAACAGAAAACCAAACACCGCATGTTCTTACTCAAAAAAAGCAAGATGACAAGTTGGTAGCCTGCTACATCAGTAATTACAATAATTATGAATGGACTAAATTCTCCAGTTTAAAAAAACATTGTCAGATTGTATTTTGGAAAAAAACAACTAGAGTCTGTTAAAAGCGACATATTTTAAATATAAGGACACAGAAAGGTTGATATAAATGGGTGGGAGCTGAGCATACTGATGCCCACCTGTGGTCCCACCTATGTGGGAGGCTAAGGTGGGAGCATTGCTTCAGCTCAGGATTGTTTGAGTCTACAATGAGCAATGAGCTGTGATTGTGTCACTGCATTCCAACCCGGGAGACAGAGTAAGACCTTGTCTAATAAAAAAAAAAAAAAAAAAAAAGGCCAGGCGAGGTGGCTCACGTCTGTAATCCTAGCATTTTGGGAGGCCACGATGGGTGGATCACCTGAGGTCAGGAGTTCAAGACCAGCCTGGCCATCATGGTGGAACCCCGTCTTTTTTTTTTCTTTTTTTTTTTTTAAATAATCAGCTGGCTCTATTTCACACACACAAAAAAGAGGGTTGGGCACAGTGGCTTATGGGATTTGAGGTTAGGAATTCGAGACCAGCCTGGCCAACATGGTGAAACCCCATCTCTTGAAAATACAAGAATTAGCTGGGCATGGTGGCACATGCCTGTAATCCCCACTACTCAGGAGGCTGAGGCAGGAGAATGGCTTGACCCCAGGAGGTGGAGGTTGCAGTGAGCCGAGATCATGTCACTGCACTCCATCCTGGGTGACAAGGCAAGACTTTGTCTCAAAAAAAAAAAAAAAGTATATCAGAAATAAAGAGGGATGGCCAGGTGCAGTGGCTCATGCCTGTAATTCCAGCACTTTGGGAGGCCAAGGTGGGTAGATCACCTGAGGTCAGGAGTTTGAGACCAGCCTGGCCAATGTGGTGAAACCCTGTCTCTACTAAAAATACAAAAATTAGTAGTGGCAGACACCTATAATCCCAGCTACTTGGGAGGCTGAGGCAGGAGAATCTCCTTAACCCAGGAGTCGGAGGTTGCACTGAGCCAAGATCACGCCATTGTGCTCCAGCCTGGATGATGAGAGCAAAACTCTATCTCAAAAAAAGAAAAAGAAATAAAGAGGGACATTTTATAATGATGAAAGAGTTTATTCCACAGAAAGATAATCCTAAATTTATATGCACCTAATAAAATAGCATCAAAGTAAAAGATGACAGAACTGAAAGAAATAATAGGCAAACCTACAATAAATAGTAAATAAAGTATGATTTTTTTTTTTTTAGAAAAGGGGTCTTTTTATGTTGGCCAAGCTGATCTCCAACTCCTAAGCTCAAGTGATCCTCCCACCTCAGCCTCCCAAAGTGCTAGAATTACAGATATGAGTCACCATGCCCAGCCCAGTAAGAAATTTTAACACAACTCTCAAAAACTGTTAGATCAAGCAGACACAAATATCAGTAAGGATTTAGAAGATTTAAATAACATGATTAATCAACTTGATCTAATTGACTTATGTAGAGCTCTATACTCAACAACTACAGAAAATACATTTTTAAAAATGCACATGAAACATTTACCAAAATTAATGATATATTCAGCTATAATGCAAGTATCAATAAAATTTAAAAGACTGAAATCATATAGAGCGTATTCTCTGCTCCAGAGTTAATAAGGAATCAAAACAAAAACATAACTAGATTCTAAAATATTGGAAATTAAGCAACATGCTTCTAGATAACTCATAGGTCAAAGAAGAAATTAAAATGAAAAACAGAAAATATTTTTAAATTGATGATTATAAAAATATGACATATCAAAACTCATAAAATACACACAGTGTCCAGAGGGAGATGTATGCTACAACATGCATATTTTAGAAAAGAAGAAAGCCTTGAGTATATGACATTGAAGAAAATAAGTTATCATTTTTTTTTTTTTTTTGGGGGACGGAGTTTCGCTCTTGTTACCCAGGCTGGAGTGCAGATCTTGGCTCACCGCAACCTCTGCCTCCTGGGTTCAGGCAATTCTGCCTCAGCCTCCTGAGTAGCTGGGATTACAGGCACGCGCCACCATGCCCAGCTAATTTTTTGTATTTTTAGTAGAGACGGGGTTTCACCATGTTGACCAGGATGGTCTCAATCTCTTGACCTCGTGATCCACCCGCCTCGGCCTCCCAAAGTGCTGGGATTACAGGCTTGAGCCACCGCGCCCGGCTCATTATTTTTTTTTGAGACAAAGTCTCACTCTGTTGCCTAGGCTGGGGTGCAGTGGCACAATCTCAGCTCAGTGCAACCTCTGCCTCCCAGGTTCAAGCAATTCTCCTGCTTCAACCTCCCCAGTAGCTGGGACTATAGATGCGTGCCATCACAACCAGATGTTTTTTTTGTATTTTTAGTAAAGACAGGGTTTAACCATGTTG